CAATGTTTACTAAGTTTTTTGATTGAGATCATGAACCGATTGATGTTAGACCACTGTTGGAAACCTTGAAGCACTGGACGGCCGTTTTGTCCTCAGCAGTGCACATCCACGATCCCGCTCACGATATTCGAACTCAGGGCCTTCAATTTCGCGTGCGAACGCTTAACCTACTAAACCACTGAACCAGCATCCACGAAATGGATTGATTGGTGTCAAACACTAACACCATTGGATGCCGGCTCAGTGATCCAGAAGGTTAAGCGTTCACTTGCGAGACTGTAGGCTGTTTACATTCATTCTCTGATTATTCTGACGAATTCTTGTCAGATTAACGAATAACATTATTACTGTATATATATATCGAAAAGTCTGAAAATGACTGTTTATAAATACAACGAATCTTTTTCAAATAGAGATTGATGTTATAAAGAAACATTGTTTAGTTTCAACAAAAGTATCCTTTGAATAGGTTTTATGAAAGTGTTCAATTAATAATGTTTATTACTTGTTGAAAATTCAAGGAGTTTTGTGCTGATGATGTCGTTTAGAAGAACGATGAAAGCTCCACGACCAAACCATCTAGCTCAGAGAACAAAAAACCCCATCAAAAAACAGGTATTATAGATGAAAATGTTCTGTCATATAGCTCTTAAAGTTGTTTATTAAATTTTTAAGAAAAAAGAAATATTCAATGATTACTGCAGTGTATATATCTCGATTATTTCCAACTTTCTTAATTGAAAGAACTTTAAATCACTTTCTAGTTTATAAAACAACTGTTCAAATGATAGGGTTACATGTAACACCTGTTTCCTGAAATATTCAAATCTTTAACTTAGTAACTTAAGTATTGGTAATTCTAAAAATATTAATGTGCTAAATTACATTGTAACAGCTGTGTTTAGTACTGTATATTACATTCTCCATTCCTTTATGACATGAAATAATTGTCTGTCGACCTATTTTTATTCGATTTTTATGACATTGATAATTCGTAGTTTTTAGGAGTGTTTTAGATTATCTTAAAGATTATATCACTGAAGTGATATATTACTTCAAGCATGCATATGGAAGCAAATGAGTGCGATAAATTAAATATCCAAGTTCTAATTTTCGTACCCAGTTAAATAGCTATCGAAAATTCATTTCTGTTTATTTGCTTAAATTGTAAGATATGTATTACAGTAAATTAATGATTGACAATATATGGTGAGAAATTGGGAGTCTGTAGTGTCGATTGCTATGCTAAGCACATATTAGCTTATTCTGGTTTTCGGACAACCCAAATTATTCATTCTTCTTGGGTCACATTTTGACTGTTTTAATTATTTGCTTATCAACACTGACTGTTTCTACGTGATCGTATGAGTGTCATTCCTTATCTTAATCATCACATTTTTGTAGTTTATTTTTGGTGCAACTTTAAATATCGATTCACGCTTAATTAAATAGAGTTGACTTACCTTCTCCATTTTCTCGTCATTTTGTTTTGATCCGCTTCCCGATCAACGATTGTATGAAATATATGTATTCAAGAATCCATTCTCATATTTTATTATTGTTATTATTATTAGCTTTATTCAATATTATATTTTTGGTACAATATAGAATTCTCAGCACAAAGTATTTCAACAAGTTTCCGTTTCGTACTTTTTGGTCGATCCTGACGATAAATACTGAGTGATCGCCAGTTAGATGTTAGCAGTCCAGTAAATGAACATCTGAATAATGTATATTCTTTTCTCTGCATATTGCCAGCGCCCACATTATCTGTTATTGGGCTTTTTATAACTTTGACAACGAAAGTTTGTACACTTTTCAGAAATGCACCAGGATAGGTTATGCGATTAATAGACATAATGATATATTAAAACAAACAAAAATAGATAACTTGTTGATATATATAGATAGCAGGGATAGGTAGCCCAGATGCTCAAGCAGGCCGCCTATATAGACTTATTTAATTCCGTTATTTACTAACGCGAGTTCTGTGCGAATTGACGACATATATGTCTCAATAGCAATCAGAAAAGATCTAACTGGAGTCAGATCTCGGGTTACTAAACCTTTTCATAAGATGAATCATAGATGTTGAATTCATATAGCTAATATTAATTAAACAGCTAATAAACAATATTTCTTTCGAAAATAATTAGCAGTCTTTTTTTTAAATTTCTGAAACTTTCAACTAATTTAGATTATACTTTGTGAAGCGAATTGAATCGGTATTAACATTTCTGATATTCGTATTGTTGGTTCACCAGATTATTTTAGCTCTACAGTTTTAGACTCATTGTTAATTATTCAATCCTTTAAATTCTAGTAATTTTGAAAAACTCACTTTGATCAGAATAATGAGTTTATTGTATAAAATTACTAACTAGTTTAACATACGAGAGTAGTTCCATATTATTACATAATTAGTCAAATTCAAGTTAACTAAGCTTATATCAAAATTCATTCAGGAGCTAATATATTAAGAGATGCATTAATATTTGAATTTCATGTTTAAACAGAGATACTGTGTGAGTAAATCCTAGTTACTTTAGCTACTAATGCAAAATCGCATTCGCCTAATTGTGACATGTATATTTATTTAATAGTTGAATTCATGCGTCAATCGAAGCTAGATCACCACAAAAAACCTGGAAACACTGGGTGGCCGTTTCATCCTAGTATGGGACTCCTTAGCAGTGTGCATCCACAATCCCGTCTCGCGGGACTCTAACCCAGGACCTATCAGTCTTTTATGTTGTTTTTGAAACTAAAATCTAAATGATTTGTCTGCATACCTAAAATTTTTATTGTGAATATATTAATGATTATTTCTGTAAATACTGAACTATTTTGTTTGTCTGTTTGGTTTGTAAGGTTTTTTTCAAAGAAACTATTTTTATTTTCGCCTAAATGCCTTTTTTATGCACGGCATGGATTGAATACAAAAAATGTGGTTTGAAAAATGTACATGTAACCATAGAGATTAGGTTTAAATGTTCACTGAGATGAAAAAACACAAAACAATCATAGACAATACAAACTTAGGTCATATGTTTCAGAACACCCTAAAATTTCAGAGTGAATTCATTTCATATTTTTTGCCATCATGAAACAATTAGTGCAAGTTTTAACAAATTAACTAACCACCTTTTCTCAGAAAGGGGTTTTTGTGAATACTATAGTATCAATACTATAGCATCAATGAACCTGCTATTTGTATCTGGACCAAAGACCTTTGGTCTCGCACGAGGAGAATTCATCCTTAGTCACTAAGTCTAGATCTAATAGCGTAGATGCTTAACTTCAATCAGTCCATAGTATTGACCCACTATCTTCAGTCACCCTCTGTGGATAACAGTCTCCACGACCCACCTACTGACAGTCATATGTGCTAACTATTTACTGGATTTGGGAGAAATTTTTTGAAGTTTTAACGAGAGTTCGTGACGAATGGAGTCCAGCGAGAGGTTACTCATTTAAAACAACTAAAGATGGTCGCTCAGTATTAAGGAATGGCTGGAGTTAGGCGTTCACACATTTGGATCCAGACTCAATAATTTACGGTTATGTCTTCATTTGTGAGACCTAAAAGCTCTGATTCAACCACAAGTAGCGGGATTGTTGATTTTAATTACTGAAGAGTCCCACGTTGAAATGAAACAACTGCCTATTGCTTCCAAGATTTCATTGGTTGTTTAACTTAAATTCATTTGTGATCTTTGTGAAATTCACCAGTCTCCACAATCTCCCTGTCATTGATGATAAACTTTTAAGAAATATTTCTCGTTCTCAGCTAAAACTAACCGAGGAAAATAATTCAATTCATTATAATATCGTTAATATGTTAATAAATATAATGCAAACATTTCTAAACTGATGAAGAATTGAAGTTATGACAGTGTTATTGTAGTGAACGAAGACTTGATGAGAATAACCAGTTCATTGCAAAATTATAAAGTGTTTTGATAAAATATGAAAACTATGCATTGAATACATTATTTGCACACCTTCCTTCAATTATCCTTTACATGCTCCATAATCCCTTTAATTCTATTGTTATTACAATTACCCTCTGTTTACCTTTTTGTCCTCTTCGATTAACTTTTCTCACTCTTCTACTGTCAGGCATTCCACTTCTGATTGGGGTTACATACATACTACACCACATTATTACTAACACGATATACACATACTAACCTAAAACAAGAATAATAATAATAATTATTATTATTATTTAGACTTAAGCATGTTTATTTCATAATTCCTGTTATATGCTTGTTATGGCAATGTTGATACGTACCTATTTATATAGGTATATACCGTATTATTCTTTGATGTATTTAAAAAAGTCAATTGTAACTCCAATTTTTTAAAATAAAGTTTCCATAGCTCATAACATTTACATGAGGTATCAAAATTTCTATCCCTGTCAACTAAATATTAGGAATATTTTTGAAATCACCAAGTTAGTTCGGTCTACTGGATTACCATAGATATGTGAGGATTTATTATAATAATCAAATATAAGTTTATTTACTAAAGAGACGGTAATCAATTATTATTTACAAATAATAAAAAATTAAATTTTCCGACATTTCGTGACTTAATTTAAACCACTTCTTCAGAGAATAAATAACCGAATTAAAATTAATCCAAGTTTAATTTGGTTATTCGTTCTCTGAAGAAGTGACTTACACTAAGTCACGAAACTTCAGAAAATCTAATTTTTCTACTCATTGGGATATTACAAATATACTATTTATTTATTTATTTATAACAATCTACCCAATGCTCCATTTATTCGAAATGATCAAATCAAACCTTGGTAATGATACCTACAATTACCATTTACGTCCATTATTATAACCTTGAGATATCATTACACAAAAAAAACCATGTTGTTCAATTAGCTATTTCTTTCATAAATATATTTTCTTTGGTTTTCTTTTTTTCTTTTCAGCACAACAATTTATCTTCAAAGACAATAAAATTTAAATTAACACATGAGTGAACTCAATCTAGAATTGAAAAGACCAATTGTTATATGTGGTCCATCAGGATGTGGAAAAAGCACTTGTATAAGAATGCTTATCAATAGATATCCGAATTCTTTTCGTTATTGTGTATCCCGTAAGTATATTAATACAGTTTATTAATATGAAAAAAATAACACATGTTAAATTACTTATAATTTCTTATATTGACGTTAGTTAATCACAGGGAATTATTGGATCCATGCTGAGTTCAAATAGAAAATCGCTAAAAAATAAAGGAATATTAAACGTCAGTGTTAAAAACTAGTTCAGCAGTAACTAGTTGAATGTCTAAATGATAAATTGATTTGAAAGTATTATTGTCTTATGATCAAAAGATGAGTTATAACCGGTATACCTAAACACTTTGTATAACTTTATGGTTTCATTAGAAATTACAAATTGACCTAGTTAATATATTATTAAACTGAAAAAAGATATATCTGATTCTCTTTCTTTGATCATATTTGAATGATTAAAGTGTATCAGGTCATTATAAATATATATTTATTTAAAGGATTAATCAGATCCATCCTTCTCTAAACACTATCACCATTCACTTGTTTGTCTTTTATTATTTAAAATTAGCCTTAAGCAATCACTTTGAAGTTTCACTTACCTATTATCCTTTATGTAACATTCGTATAATTATCGGTAATAATACAACTATTCTTTATTCTTTCTTTTGACACAAAAAAAGAACTGTTTCACTGAAGTAGAAAATTTTCTTTATACTCTGTCATTCGGTAAAAACACACATCTTGATTGTTTTATTATATTTCAACTAATCCGGTTGTTGATCATCTAAATTAATCTATTTTAATTGGCATACAAATGAATTTTTACTGCGCATGATTAATAAAGTAGTATGCTTATTAAATACTAGGAAAAAACACATACGGTTAAATATGAAGTTAGATTGGGTAATCGTTTGTTTGATCAGTTCGTTCTTGCTTATACATTGTAAGTTATTTGTTGTTGATGGAAACAGAGAGTCAGACTTATTAAATGAGAGAATAAGAATTTCAATAATAAGTATCGAAATATATTAAAAGACTAACTTTGAGAACAAAAAGAAATATAGATATTCAGGAAACCAATTGCTGAATATCAGAAGATAGTTTAAAATCGGAATCTAATTAGTATGAGAAATAGAGGAATCTTATTTACCATAGTTTTTAGATTCAATGTGATTAACCATCCAAACAGTTAAGGATAATAAATTAGTTATTATGGTGAAACTTCTTATTGTCAATGTCTACACTTATTGAAATTCTCAGTGCTTAAACATAAAGGGCCATGCCAAATGACGTTTCTAAATACTCAGATATATATATATATATATATATATATATATATATATATATATATAATCAAACGTTTACATAGATTTAGTTGTAAAGTCACAGGTTAATTAGTATGTAAACAGTAAAGTTTTCAATCCACCTTTCTACTAGATGTTTTGTTCAGGCTAAACTTACCTGAAGAAAATGCAAACATTATGATTTATAAAGTAAGATCTTAGATAAAGATATAAGGCTGTCAGTGATAAAATCACCAAAATTGGTGTTAAGTGATTATACATAAATCCTTGAAACCATCAGTAAATGTATGATGAATTTCAGTGAAATGGAGGCTTTTGATTATGATTTAGTTTAGTTGTTTACATAATGTGTTTGACATTAGTTAACTTATAAGTACTGAGTTATAGAAGTGATTTTATTCATTTGCAGTTTTAGATGCATGGTTTACTGTCACCATTAGCAACGTATAATGAATAGTTGAAATGTATCATTACATCAATATAAAAACCTAAAGAACTTTGTAAATTGATTTGTGTCAGTACCTCAAAGTATTCATTTGAATATGGTAATAAATTCGTTCAGCATACTTTCTTCATTTTACAACTCATAGATCCTGATTTTTCTGAAGTCATATAATGTGATGATTTCATAGTAAACTTCATATCTAGTTTATGTCTGATAAACAACTCCATAAGCTGTATCGTGAGTCATTATGGATTTGTTTAGAAAAAAATTCTAAGCATTGAAACATCTGATTATTCAACATTGAATGACATATTATACCAATGAACTTGAAATTTCATTCTTCTTTATTATCAAGTCAGCTAGTGATTATTTATTGATTTTTCTAAAAATTTTATTTTAGATACCACTCGGCCAAGACGTCCAGATGAAATTCATACAAGAGGTGAATCTATTTTAATTAAAATAATAGTCATATGATGTTTTGAATTGAATTGAACTTGTTGGTCTTTTTGAATAAACTTTATGACAAAAAATATTTTACCAATTAAATTCAATACACATGAAATAAACAAACAGATAGTTACATGTTACTGTTTATGTTAGCAATTTAATGTTCGTGACAAACTAATGACATTCTTTTATTGTTGTTTAGTTATCAGTGAATTATACAGGTGTAACAAAAATCACATTTAAGGGATGTTGTTTTATTTTCATGGATATTGACTGGTTGTATGGTAGAATAATAAGTATTCATTAATAACAGTCCTAAGTTCTCAAAACCAGGTAACAGATTTAATGGTAAAGAAGAGAATGTCAACATTTTATACTGGACGCTAAGGTAATCTCAAGTTATTTACTTTCTGTAAAAAGTGTTAGTTCTTTCTTGAAATGATAATTACAAGTTCTGGAGTGAACATCAAGTCTGGGTCACACGTACATACAGCTGACGAGTCCTGGATTCCACTGTTAGCCATTATCCATCTTTACTTATAACCACAATAACACTTCCTTTAATTTACATTTTCGCATGACTTTTGAAGTTTTTCCACATATTGTTACTACTTTCAGTGCATCAATTGCTTTGTGGTCAAGGGTCATGTTTGGTTAATTTATATGGAGAATTGTTTCATATGAATTTGCCTTTGTCATGTATCACGTTTTCTTCTGCACTGCGATATTTTTTAGAGCTTTATCGTGAGGAATTATTACTGAGATGTGTGTATCAATTGTTTCTTTTTGGAGTTCAAAATTCATCCAGTTAGTGGTAGAATTGTCTTGAATGTTCAATACAGCTAAACAAAACAGTTCTTTACAACAAGAAGTGAAATAAATCGAGAACATTTTATTGTCAGGATAGTTGTTGCATAATTCATGACTTATTTCTTATAAATTGTGATCGCTTATCAATTTAAACGGGGAATTCAATTTTTTGAATTAGTGTTTATGCTATGTAACTTCAGAAATACTGAACTGAAACTGCTAGTCTTTTTCAAAACTACTAAATACTTGTATTCCTAAAGCTTAGTGTATTTTAGTAAGTAGTTTGGGAGAATTTTTCTAGTTTAAAGGAAAATTTCACCAAGACCTGACATCAATCGAAAACTCATTATAAAAGAAAGGTTTGTAATCATTCACCTATTACTATTTTGTAAATCAGTGTGCATAGAAGATAATAGATGGGATATTTCTTTTGAATAAAAAAATGCCTAATAACCACTTAAATAGATATTATTTTTTGTTTGTATCAAGTTTGTATTCTCTGACCTGAAAGTTAATCATCCCAGAACTGATGTGTTCAGTCCTAGAGAAAGTTTAATAGATTTCTAAATCGTTTGTTTCCTGTTTTCCTAATTATGAATGTAGACCGATATATTTAAAGTCTGTGATCTAAATATGTAGATAGTGCATGTGTAAAATCGAATTTTTTAAGGATGTTACCTTTTAAGTAGCGTAACAAGAAAACACTGAGTTTTAAAAATATCGAAATATTCCTTTACTCTTAGTATTATAACTTTTGTAGTATAAATTCGACGTTGTAGTTGAATAATACCTTTATTTTAATTTAGCGAAATATATGGGATGTAAAAGCCGTATCATATGAATTTCCGGTCAAATGCTTGATAACTTTGTAGTTCACATTACGGTTCGACTTTAGTTAAACATCTACTAAAAATCAGGTTCTATTGTTGGACTCTCTAACTATGTGAATCTATGAACCCACTGGAGTTCGGACTGCGAGAGTCTCGTATTTAGACTACTGAGGCGGCATTTATTGATTTGTATATCTAAAGTCAATTATTTCGTATTACTGAGTAACAATCTGCTTGAATTTCAATATTTGTATAACTAAAGTCAGTACGTCATGTAAATCATAAAATAACCATCTACATGAACTCCTGTACATAATACCTTATCATTCTCTTCTTAAGAATGGTAAGTAAAGCTGTACAAGTTAGAGCGAAGAATTTGCTGTATTGATTTCTTCATCTATCTAATGAAGTTATAATTCACAATTAACTAAAAATTATCTAGAAAGATGTTACAACGCGATACAACGTCAAATATATTTCATATAACGTTACCATTGAAAATCTGAAAATACTGAACTTATATATCTCTTTAGTATAGGATTCCTCAACAGTGTGCATCCATCGTTTCTGAAGCAGTAGCTTTTGGTTTTTCCAGTTACCATCGGTCAAAAATGTTTGTATTCGACTATTTACTATAGTTAGGTTAGTAAAATACTCGAAACTACTATTATTGGTAAAAATCAAAGACAACAGCATTACCACTGTTCAAAATTAGTTACAGACAAAGTCGTTTTTATAAAGAATAAGAAGCCAATCACAAATTTAACTAATTCATTTGTATGAACCTTACTTGTGGAGATTAACAAGTCTAACTCAATAAATTCATTATTTTATAATTTCATATTTTTATGTTAAGTTGAAATCCTTTTATCATCCATTTTTATGCAATACCACTGTTTAACAATCTTTTAGATAGATACCATCTTTCAGCTTAGTCACCATCTCATGATTAAATTGAATGGTGTTTATCGAGATTCTTTATTTTGATATGCATATCATTCTATTTAAAGTGATCTTTCGTAATTGATTTTAAATGTTGCATGAAATATGCTGACAATAACAGACGCCAATTCATGTAAATAGGAAGAGAGTTTAGAAACCAAGGTTACCAATGATGGAAATATTTCTAATATAAACAAAAGCGTGATAATTATATTATCAAACTATTTAGATTCAACGTTTACAGACTGATATTTGAATAGATTTTAGAAAATAAGTCTTCGTAAACTGTTAGTCACTAAACTATTCAAGTGTTTTTATGACAAGAGAAAATAAGTTGTCTAATGTACAATTTGACATATCATATTGGAAAATGCATGATTTTACTACATACAAAAAATCAGATCAAATATGACTGAACTAACTTTAAAAAAAACATTTAACTTTATTCAAAATGAAACACTGTCAAAATTCATCACTTAAAGTCTAGTCATTTTATTGTCAAGGGAAAACGTTTTAGTTAACAACAAAATGACAAATGGTGGGGTTGTAAAACAAAATGAATAAAAAAAAAGATAGACATGCGAAAATACGAACCTCCACCACCCCCAGTTTTTTTTTAAATTTTATTCTAACTTGTTAAGTATACTAAATAATAGGTAGTTTGTTTGATGTATTTTTTTGTTTTGTTTGAAAAACCGATTTCAAACAAAAAATCAATTTAAGTATTTTTATGAGTATGAATTTTCGGTTAAAAATTATCGATTTTTAATAAATGAAAGAGAATAAGAATCGAAGAAACAAACGACATAAATTATTGTTCGATTAAAAGTATACACTTTTCATCTTTGGAAGATCTTTGAAGAGAGGTGGTAAGTATGAAGAAGATTGTTATTCGCAATTATTTTTTAGTAGGGTTATAAATGTCTAACTAATCTCTTACTTATTACTCTTACTTATTAGAAAGACATTATTTTGATCAAGCATAATTCATTTCTAAGCTTCAAATTTATCAATATTTTAAACTCTTTAGTGGAGCGATCAAGACTCACTTGTACAGGAGTTCATGTCAATGTTTTAAGCTACTCTAAGGTATAATAGGACACAGTTATTTCATCTTACTTCGCTTTAGTCGTTATGCTCGCTATACTAAAACTCATAAAATGAAGTAATTGTGTTACAGTGAATTGATTTAGCGATTTTCACATAATATGGTAACTAAGTTTATTAAGTTAGCTTCACATGATTGGAAACCCATGGTTTCTCAATAGAATCTTATTAGTACAGGGGATGTTTGGAGGTTGTAGAATTTTAACAATTTTAATCGTCAACTGATTTTAGCTAGACCCCCACTGAAAATGTAGACGCATTGTGCGGCTCAATGGTCCAGAGATTAGGCGTTTAAGTGTAAGACCCATGGTCTTGAGTCCGATTCCCAGGTACGTGGTCATGGATGAGCATTGGGAAGGAGTCTCATGTTAGACACTAACACCATTGGATGCCGGCTCAGTGGTCTAGTTGGTTAAACGCCTGGCGCGAGACCGATAGGTCCTGGGTTCGAATCCCGCAGGGAGCGGGATCGTGGATGCGCACTGCTGAAGAGTCCCATACTAGGACGAAACGGCCGCCCAGTGCTTCCAGGTTTCCAACGGTGGTCTAACATCAATTGATTCATGATCTCAATCAAAAACTTAACAATTTCCACAACCCCTATACTGATAAGGCGAAATGGTGGTCCAATGATTCGACGTTTTTAATGGTAGTTGAGCTAAGGTCATTTCATGTTTTGAGCTTTGAAAATAGTGTACTACTATATAATAAGTAGCGAAAATATTGTTCAAACGTCGACGTCCACTGACAAGCGTTTTGAGTGAAAATATATAAAACAAAGTAGTATATTAAATTTTTCTTGCAGATTATAACTTTGTGTCAAAAGAAGAATTTGACGAAGCAATAAACAAAGACGAGTTTATTGAATACGTAATGTTTTCTGGACATTATTATGGAACAAGGTAAGAACTTACAAAACATAGTTATGCAGATCATTAAAAACTTGTTGATTATGTATTTATTCATCCCACATATAAATGGATGCTCCAGATTATTTTTAAAAATGGTGACAACAACGTACGAATACTTCCTTTCTTAATAAACTTAGTAATAGTAATTGAATTTATGTTTAAGGGTAATTTGAATATTCCAAATCAAAATGTTATGTCATTAGCTAGTAGCTGATAACTAATCTGAAAAGTTTGTGTGGATAACAAAGTTTAATGTGGTGGGATAATTATATGTACCTCTAGTGAATCCTTTTATAATATACGTATGTCAGCAGACACTGAACAGTAGCAGTCATTAACACCAATAATTGGAAAAAACAAACCCTTCCAACTAGCATTTTATTAAAGCTTACTGTAAATATTACAGATACGTGTTGAGGTCTACTGATGTAGAGACTGCTGCTACACTAGTTGTCTTGTCCTGCATTTGTTGGTGTGTATGGGATAGAAGAGCTAAGTCATATGTGAAGTCCAGATTGCCTAGTTGATTCCGAGCTGTCCATTGTCTTCCGTGCTTCCCGTCAGATGCGGGGGTCTTCATAATCCAGTCAACCACCAGATGAAAGAGAAAGGGGGGGGGAGAAAGCTGTCTTGTCTGATGATTTCACACTGCAAGCAACTTAATTTACTGGATGAAAAACCAACTTGTGAGGACCATTCTTTCAAAACGTTCAGTCTGGTCATTGATGTACCATTGATGAATTCATTCTTCATAAAAAGACTGAGTATCAATTAGAGGTGTTTATGGATTATAAGAAGGCAAACTCGCTCTTTAGTTTAACATTCGTGGAGGAACATAAAAGTTTCGAAACAATTTTAATATGTTTTATCGCCAAACCTAGTCATACCTTGTGCTTTAGATATCTAGATATTATTTCCCGAAACCAGTTGTACCATTTCGTCATTTTCAGTAGTCCTCTGTATTTAATGATTTCTCAAACCTTTCAAACCTTAAAATCATTGTCACTGAAAGTCCTCTTTACATTTACAATTTATCAATTAGATCATAACAAATTTTGAATGTGATGAAATTAATCAATGAGATAGTGTGATTTGTAGCATAGTATGACAAGTAAATTATCTTTCCTTATGAAGAGGAATAAAGTGATTTATAAAATGCTTACTATATACATTATCAACTTTTCCATTAGAACGTAATTCTTTTTTGTGTGACTTATGGGATTTCAGTTATTCACAGTAAAATATTCAGTTACATTTTAACTAACAACATTATGGATGATATAACAAAAGATTTCTTATATGCAACTTATTAATGAAATATTTTAGGAATTTATTTAGGAAAAGATACGTTTGTAATGTCATTTGTACTATTTGTATTATGTGACAGTTTCTGATTTAGATTATTATTATTACCTTTGTTAAAAGGACCCGCATATTTTTTCTGTTAGTTATGCCAAATGGAGTGATCAATGAAAAACAATTGATATTCTTCGGTTAGTGTCCTTTTTAGCTTTATTCTTTTCACTAAGTTTGGATTGTTAAACCTAAGTTCAGTTCTTTTACTTTATCTAAGTTTTAGATCTGCAATAACTCTAGAGATGCTTCAGGTAGAGTTGATTGAGAACTAAGACTAAATGATTTAACAAAGTAAACTAAACAGTAAAGTTTCATCATTGTCATTGTTATTTGTATGTTTATATGTTTATATTGAGGACTATTTTATATGCAAATCATTTATTTGTTTGTATTAAATATTCTTAAAATCAGTAAAGCTGAATTGAAAAAAGCTGAATTGGAGAAACGTGTCTGTTTAATGGATGTCGATATACAAGGTGTTGAAAAGTTACAGAAAACAAATATTAATCCACTTTGTATTTTTATACGTCCTAGAAGTTTTGCTATACTTGTAAGTTGAATGTTAATATCAAAATGACAGTTATTATATTCTGCTCAGTTATAAGCTGAATAAAATCTAAATATACTAAATGTATTAAGGGACAGTCTGTTGATGACATTTTTTACTTTTCTACAATGTTAAGTTTCTAATATATAACTCATTTAAAACGTCAACCAATTTTTTAAATTACTAATGTTCTTATCACAGATTCAGATGTTTTCACAAGAACTAGCAGTATCATCCTTTAGTATTTGAAAAAAGGTCACATGTCTTTTATTTTTAAATAGGTGAAGACTGTAACAGAAATCATCAATTGAATTGGAAGATCGTTGAGGATCATTGGATACTAATCTAATACTTTGAAGGTTGAATTCTTTCATGAGATATGAAGGTTCTAAATTTAATTCTTCATAGTATCATAAATAGATATTACTAATGGATACCAGACTAGAACGAAACAGATGTCCAGTGTTCCGTAGCTTTCCATGATAACCCATTCACAGACAAATACTTTGTCATAAATTTGATTAGTTATTGAACAATTAACCTATATATATATATATATATATATATATATATATATATATATATATATACAAGCATTTAATGATTTAAAGATTTGTATTCCAGTCATTCAGTAGAACGGATTCAATAGGAAGCCATAGGAAAAAGGGTTGACTCTAGTTCACATTTGTTATCGAGGCTTAGAGGCAGTCATGAAAGAGCAGATGATTTTCATGAGAATCAAATTTACTTCATGCAGTGTCATAGATGGGGATCTTACTGATAGACTATCCGGACTATAGTTGTGTGTGTGTGTGGGTAAGATAGTTATCTACCGAGAGCAATGGATGAAGTTTGATGATCATTGCAAATTGATTTAATGTGAAAAAATGGTAACATTAAATACCGACTCAGTGTTCCAGATGTTAAGCGTTGGTGAGAGAGACTGAATGTCTTAGGTCCAATTATTGAGTGTAGAGCCGTGCACACCCACTTCAAATGTTTCCGATTGTGATTTAGCTAAAGTCAATTCGTGATATAAACTTTAATGAAGAATTGGTTTTGAAAACAAAACAGACTGACAGTTCAAATAACACGAACCCCATAAATGAATTCTAATTGACACATGAAATCTAGAGGTATACATATTTTCGACATAACGTTAATCATAATTGACACTGGTTATTATTATATTTTGGGAGTACTTATCAGTAGAAACTAACCTCCTTATTTGTTATATATTTTCATTTTTTAGGAGAAACGATTAAGATCTCGTTCTACAGAAAGTGAAGATAGAATTCTTCAACGTCTTGCAGTTGCACATCAGGAAATGCAGTACGGTATGTTATCAGTAAATACATTTTCAAGTATTTAAAATAATTATGCAGAATTTCCACTTCTAAAATGTCCATATTCAGAAAATGTCACATAATATGTCAATTTATTGAAATTTAACGAAATCTTATAGTGACAATATTGTTTCACGCTCGATTTCAAACTTCACGACAATGTACAAATTTCAAGGATTTTATATTTCCAACTTCCAGGCTACTGGTAACTGGCACGCAAACACTTAATCTCTAGACCACCGAATCGACCTCAACCTCAAGGAATCCACGAAATCGCGCAAAGGTAAGCGTTCGAACCCGAGACCGATAGGTCTTTGGTTCGAATCTCGCGAGATGAGATCATGGATGCGCACTGTTGAGGAATCCCGTACTAGAACGAAACGGCCATCCAGTGCCTCCAGGTTTTCCATGGTGGTCTAGCTTCAGTTAAATAATGATCTCAACTATTGAAATTCATATAGTAATGTTTTAATCTATATTTTGATATTCGAGGATTTGATTTGCTATACTATGGATATCATTTGAAAACAGTTCATCACAATGTTTGTTTGAATTCACTATAGGAATATCCGAAGGGAAATTTGATGCTGTTATTGTCAACGATAATGCTGATAAAATGGTACAAGAGGTTGTTGATGTGATACGACAAGTGAGTTAGATATTTCTGACAATTTAATTTACTACAATCAGACAAATTGATTGATTTATCAAATAAATGATTGAATTGGACTTCGTTGACTGAATTGTCAGTAAATGTACACATAGAAAGCAAGTTAGATAAACTATTGCAATGGAATGAAGTGATAAAACCTGTACGTAAATGTATTAAAATTAGAATTAAACATGTAGTGAACGAGAATACAAGCGGGGACAACCAACTGTAATTTAATATAATAATACAGAATAACTTGGTAAAATCTGTCAGTCTTACAGTAAATACTTGATTTGTAAAATATTCATCAATTGTCTCAGACTTAGTTGTTCCATCTATTCGCTTCGATTTTCTCAACCTTCTGCTACCAGGCATTCCACTTTCGATTGGTGATACATACTACTTATATCTGTTAGCATCAGTGGCACACATCATAATGTGATTTTACTAACTGTATAATAAACTCATCATTCTGTGAGCCTAAACAAAATAAGTTATCCTGTCAAAAAAATCCCAAAAGCATTGTTCATTGTCGTGCATTGAAAATATATTATTCATCAAAATGAAGTTTGACTTCGATTCTTAATCTAATCAATTCTAATTACATTCATATATTCTTAGCAGATGTACATATATTATCAAATGGGGTTTTCTATTTAGCGTGATGATTAAGCTTGTAAATTTTGTTAGTAAAGTAATGTTATTATCATAAATAATGTAACCATAACATTTTACTTTGCACTAAATTTTCTTAAGTCAATATATATATATATTCTTCGTGCTCTAATCTCACAATAAAAGTTAACATTTAAGCAGTAACTGGTGAATGGCTTAAATCTACTTGTAGACTACAGAAATGAATCCCTGTCTCGCGGTTACTTCAGTTATCTATGAATAAGTACTTGTACGTTCATTTGCTCTAGTAACGTCATTTTACTAGAAAAAAAGATTACAATACAAACAGATTTTCGGCTGTTAGAATATAAATTTATTAATTTCACTGGTTGAAATCATGAGTCAATTGAAGCTAGACCACTATGGAAAACCTGGAAGCACTGGATGGCCGTTTCGTCCTAGTATAGGACTCCTCAGCACTGTGCATCCACGATCCCGCACCCCGCGAGATTCGAACACAGGACCTATCGGTCTCGCGCCAGGCGCTTAACCAACTAGACCACTGAGCTAGTCGGTATCCAACGATGTTAATGTCTAACTTCAACCAATCCACGAAGTTGCGCCACCGCACATCATTGTCTTCAGTGAGTTAATATCTCACAACAGATCTGGTTGAACTCCACCGGTAACGGCTTCTCACTAGAACTCCAGGAGTCCCATACTAGAACAAAACGGCCGTCCAGTGCTTCCAGGTTTTCCATGGTGGTTTAGCTTCAATTGACTCATGATTTCAACCAGTGAAATTTCTAAAAATCTCCACAAAACCCATTCTGATAATAATACGTTCATTAATCGTCATTTTAAAATCAGCCACATTTGTATAGGATTTATAGTTAGATCAGAGATTTATGGAAAAAAGAGATCTATACAAAATATAGTTTAGTTTTGTTTTCAGTAATTTTGAAATATGAACTGATCAACGTAAGACTATCATTGAAAGCCTGGAAGCATTCGATAGACATTTTGTACTAGTATCGAACTCTTCGGCAGTGAGCACCTACGATTCTGACCTAGAGTCCTTGGTCTCGAACTCTTGACCTCTAGACCACAGGGTTAGCATCTAACGGTGTTAATAACTTAGTTCACATAATCCATGATATTGCGCGATCATCTTCCATTGTCTTCGGCGAATAACTGCTACACACTCGACTTGGTTGAACTTTATTGGTCCCGGCTTCTCGCCAGAACTCCGAGACTTATCTGTCAAAGTTAGTCAATAGCGAGTACATGCTTAAAAGAAATTGAACGATTCTTACATCCCTAAAGTGAAATGTTTGAAATAATACAAATAACTATATGGAATATTACTAAGTGTTGTTTTCCATAGAATGGATACTCATAGATTTTGTATAGTTAACAAATATGTTTCAGTGAATTCAATTATTAATCATTGGTTACCACTTGAGTATTTGTCAAATTAGGTTGTAAGTCTACTGACTATCAGAAACCCCAAGTTTCTCCAATTGTATCTAAGTATGCATATTAAGAAGAGTTATGGGTGTATTTTGGAAATTACTTTGTTTTTCTAAGATGTAAGAATAAAAGTCTAGTAATTTAAAAAAATCATATTTTAAAAAAATACATTTTCATACTTCTACCTCACAAATGGGATAACCTGTGAATGTAAGTTGTAACCCCAAATAATTTAGTAGTAATATCTCCGAATATGAAAAGTGAATGATTCGTTTTTTTATCTCACTCGAAGCATCAACTTTATCTAAACTACAAATACATCTTTCTGATAAATAGAAACTAGCTTAAAATTGACATTACAAGTTTTCCGTTGATTGCATACCATCATATTTAATATTTGAATGAAAACACTAGCTATTTATTAAATAATATTTAAATAATATTCAAGTTTTGCAACTATCTAAAATCAAACTAAAGTCTTAAATACTCTTAATGAATTACTTACCAAAATAATTACCAACAAGGTTACAACAAATCTTTCAATGTGTACAATGATAAACAATGGTGAAACGATGGAGGGGGTGGGGGTAGTAAATAGAAAGAAATTATCAGTAATATTCTCTTATCGATTACATTTAATTTATTATTTTTTATTAAAAAAATACACCCCTTCTAATATAAAAACCATTAGTGTCTAGTAAATTCATTGATTTAGTGACAAAATGTATGATCTATTATCATAAATAGAGTATTTTCCAAATTAGGATTTTTCATTTTTACTAGTCAATAAATAATTTATGTGGAATTTATCAAACAAAAATAAAACGAAAACGATTCATTCAATGAATAATTAAATACAATGTATACCCTGTGGTTAAGTGGGACACAAAAAGACTATCATTCAATCAGAAACAATATATTACATTATTAAATTACTTCATAGTCGTAGGAAAGAAAAGAAAATCAATTGAGTTGCTATACGATAAAAAGAAGAAAAAAAAGCAAAGAGTAAACACTTAGTTTTTCTGTTAACACAACTTGAAATATCCATCATTATTTACTTAACAGAATTAAGAAATCTATTACCTTCTTATTATCTTTTCTTAGATATTTATATGAATAAATAAGTGAGATTAATATCATAGAATAGAATTAATAAATGACTAAAAGAAAATAATATAATTGTGGTGCGTGCTACTTATATTGATATAAGTAGTATATGATGCGAGTCAGGAATGTAATGTCTGGCAGCGGAAGATGGGGAAGATCAAGAAAGGAAGAGCGGGAATAGAAAGCAATTAGTATGGAGATGCTAGAACAACGAAGTTCGAGACAATTATTGAACATTTTGCAAATTAAGTATTATAGTATGATTTTTCTATTTTACCGAGTAACTCTGTAATTTTGTGCTGAATACAATTCGATTGTCCCCACTCGTGTTCTGTTCGTTACATAATTACTAGATAATTTTAAAAGCATCACATCTATTCATATGGCTAGGATTTTATTGATATTAACCAAACATTGAGACATAATGATAGATGCGACATAAAGCTCATAATATTGATAGTTAGCATTGAGACTTGATGATAATTATTAGTCAATATCAGTTACAATTCACCTCAATATGAACCCATTTATATTAGTGGAAAAATTAAAATATGAATAATAGAAGTTGATTATTAATAAAAACTAGAGGATAATGACATTTGTTATACTAGTCCGTTATTACTAATTATGATCTAATTTTATTTATTCATTTATTTTTCAAATAATGAACTTGATTTGTAGTTTTAATTACGTTGTTTTTTCTTCTTTCGTTCATTTATATATCAGAAATTAAGTAGTTGATCAGTTTCAGTTTGGAAAGGACAGGAGGCTTGATGGCCTGTGTTAGTCCTGGCAATCAACCAATTATTATTGACAATGTATCTTATGTTTTATCAAACTGTCTTGAAGAGAGAAAGAGTTTATTCTGATTATCTTGCTTGAATTATATCATGTTAAAAAAACAATAGACTATTTAATTTGTTTACCCTGTGATGTATTTTTATGAATAAAAATGCGGTTATTTCATAATAATGAAGCATTCTACAACGAATATTTTTCTTTCTTATCAAAGTGTTCAACATTTTGCGCTTAACTTGACATATGACAACAATATATTCAAACACTAGATTCGTCTAAGCAAACATGGATAATGGCTAGCGGTGGAATCCAGAACGTGCGTTTCGTCCCATATAGCGCTCGTCAGCCGGGTGTATCAGCATCTCAGCATAGATGTTTACTCTGAGACTCAAACTTAGCACCGTTCGCTTCAAACACCATCACGTTATTCACTCAGCTACTGAGTCCTGTCAGTCATTTGCTTGTGCAATGGGGTGAAGTTTTAAATTTACTCAGTATCTTATTTGCATATGTGCATACTGTGAGTATTGCCTAGATATTTCCCTAATTTATAAGCCACTAATCATCTTTGCTTATAATGCCTGTGGATTAAAGCAATATCTAGGGAATACGCACAGTATGCACATATGCAAATAAGATAATGATTAATTGCAGTCTTAAACATCAATGGGAAGATTCAAGCAAACAATACTAAGTAAATTAGATTTGCCGAGATGTAATGCATTCCTGATACAATTCTTATTATTTAAGAGGTAATTAGTTTAACGATAGCAGATAAACCTATCTCTGTGCCTGTTGTTTGATTAAGGAAATGTTTGAAATGAGTTCATTGTAATACCATCACGTGGTGTTTTTGTTAATATTAAAAAAGCTGTTATATTATAATCGAACTGAACGAGAATAACATAATAGATGATTCTTGTATAACATAGTAATAACAAACCGTCCATCAATTAGTATAAAGAAATACACCTCTGTTCACATTAAATAATAATATCCCAGTATGTTGTTTCCAGTAGATGAATGAAACAAAGAATTTGCCTAAAAAAAACGAATATTTAAGTAAACCAAGTACAATCATTTTAGGAAAGTAATGAGGTATAGGGAGTAATTTATTAAAACAATAACTAGAAATATTATAACCAGAATTTGTTATTTGATATTATGTTATATGAAGTAGTTAATTGTGAAATCAGTAGTCACTATACAGTTTAGCTGTCCGTATTGACTCTTAGAACAAATAATTGTGGGTACCTACATGTTGACTATCACACAGATGGCTTGAATTAAGAGACAGATTGGTGGGAACGCCGCTTAACTTATAAGAGTTTGGCATTTTAAAAAAACCTATCACTTCAATGTATATCCATAAACCATTTGCTTATTAGAGTAACAATGGTAAATGAGTTTATTAAATACAGAACACCACTTTACGTGCATGCAATGTCGATCTGCACTAAGAAGGACTTACCACACATGACGTTGATCACTAACCAGTAATCAAACAATTGCAAATACATTTCAGTTCTATAGGATGTTAGTGGTAGGTCGGATAGTTCAGTAGTAACATCTCTAACTGAGAAGCTGGGTGACACGGGATTGAATCCTCCAGGTAACATCAGTTCCCTCAAGATTACATGTACACCTTACTGACGAGTGCCAAATGACAAAAAACCTAGGTCCATAGTTTCCTGTCAACTACCTCCAACCATCACCTCACATGCGAACATTTCGTACAAGTTATACAATCAATCAGGAATGAAAAATTAGTTCGAATTTATTGGAATCTTGTGAGAGTTTTAAGCCTAAAGAACTTAAATATAGCTGAACGAAAATTTTTCTTATTTTCTGAGTTAAACTTTCGATGACATCAGATTGTTTTAACGTTGGTTAAGTTTGACTGATTATATCTAGTTTCACTTAATAAAATATATCATCACTTAAAAGCTCTGATGTTAGTCAAACAAAACCCCAAAAACATATATATTGTTTACTAATTTATACTTTTGATGGAAAAAATATCAACAGGCGTGAGCTGTGAGTTCTTAATTTACGATTTCTATGTATAACACTGACTGAATTTATTCAATATGTCATTCAAATGATGGTGGAAATCCATCAGTGAGTTATGAGCCTTCATCATCTACTTTATGAACTAATCTAATTTGAAAACTATCGAGAACTAGGAAGGATTGGACAGCTGTTTTATTATATCATGGTAGTATTCGATAGTACGAATCCATGGTCTGATTGATAATTGAATACAGAGCACTCAGGTCCCGCTTCAGACACCTAACCTTCCTACTATGTAGCAGGCATACATTGGTTTACATTACTAACTTTTACTGATTTACCATATTGGTCGACCATCATTCATTGCAACTAGTAATATTTATCTCAGTCCCAATATGGTTGAACTCTATCGGTCATAGATCCACACAAGTACTCTGACAACTAATTATAGAAGTTAGTAAGAGATAGCTGTCTGGTACATTATGGTTTTCAAGAGTATAACCAAGATGAGTTTGTAATGTAAACAATGAAATCTAGCAACCGACACAACACTCCCTCAGAATAAACATAAAAAATTAAAGTTGGTCTAATACAAAAATGTAGTACAATTAATCTTGGATATTAATTGGTTGTAGGTTTGTCACATGTAGCAAGTCAGCTACTAAAGAAAGTTTGTGTAAAAACAACAAACGAGTGATACCGCCAAAAACGGGGTTGCATGAATACGATTATGTTTTATATACGTTAGTTTTTAGATGAAATGTGTAGAGCAGTAAGATTTGAATAGAATACAATTTTATTTTTATTGCACAAATCGTAAAACTCCTGGAAAGTCTATAAGTTCTACAACAATAAATCCTGAAGTTATCAGTCAAGCTAAAAATAATTCAAGTTTAAAGCAAGTCTTGGACAATTTAGCTTTAAGTTGATTGCATGTACAGATCCATTATATTTTGTTTCTAAGAAATAAATGCTCTTAGTAAACTCTTGAAAAATGATTATTTATTGTTATATAACTGAATAATGAATCTATATAAATGATGTCAATTCATGATAAAATCTGTATTGATTTTCATTTATTTACTCTACAAACAACATTGACCATTCAAACAAAGATTATTATACAGTATAATATCTATAATCAGTAAATACACAGGTTTAATACTATGTTATTGAAGCAAAATATAGTTTGCTCTAAAATCTCCACAAACCCCTTCTGATAATAATCATCTGCTCACTAATGACTGACTTCAAGAAATACTCCTGGATTTCTAGTGAAAAGCCGTGATGAGTGGAGTTGAACCAGGTCTGTTGTGAGATATCAACTCACTGAAGACAATGGTGTACAGTGGATTCGTTGAAGTTAGACATTAACATCGTTGAATGACGGCTCAGTGATCTAGTGGTTAAGCGCTGTCGCAAGACTGATGGGTTCTGGGTCCGAATCTCACGGGGTGCGGGATCGTGGATGCGCACTGCTGAGGAGTTCCATACTAGGACGAAACGGCCATCCAGTGCTTCCAAGTTTTCCATAGTGGTCTAGCTTCGATTGACTCATGATTTGAAATTTCACAACTTTATAATACTTTAAAACTGAGTATTTCAGTAAATATACAAAGTAAATTCCATATGGAAATGTTTATTTATGCCTTTGAATTGATCAACAAAGATTTTACCTAGAATTTTTGATAAACACTTTATTATAGAATAAAATTTTGAAGAAAAAAACTGAATCATATGTCAAATTTTGTAGCAGTCGAATGATTTATTAACTGAATTGGAAGTTTTAATTGATGAATATATATTTTGAATTCACTCCAACTATTCGATGGTATCCAACTGTTATTCAATACCTTTAGAAAAGATAAGTAGTGACTACTACGAATTCTGTGTGTTGTAAATCCTATGATGTCTCACTGATATACACGTTAGTTAGTATAACACAACAATAAATGTTCTAATAAGGTTTTAAAAGACTGGTAGTTTCATTATATACAAAGTTAGAAATGTATACCTCTCAACCATCAATTAGAGAGAAGATGCATGACAAAAAGAAGAGCTATATTGGTGAAAGATGGTTTACTAAATAAAATAATGAAGAAAGTTTGTAGTTTACGTAATTTTTTTTATTCTATGGACTGTGTAGTTTAATTCAAAATCTTCACTGTCGATCTTGAAAACGTCATCAGCGCAGTTGTATCAAGCCGGTAAAATATGGGATTCCGAAATGGCAACAAAAGTTGTTGCTCCAAGGTATATCATATCATGCCCTATGCATAAACGATAGGTTCTTATGTTACGGTAATTCTGTTTTATATCATTATAATACAATAATGAAATATTTTTGTTTGAAAACAGTTAATACCTCACTGTCAGTGACTATTACTGTTCATCTATTAATCACCTTAGGTGCTGAATGAAAACGTTTGCTGGACGCTTTTTAAACAATCTCTTATCCTCCAATATCGTCTTATAGCATTTATAGTTATTGCTTTGACCGCTCCTAATAATTCAAGATTCAATTTCTTTAATCTAGTTATGAACGATAAAACAAAGCGATGATACACATTTTCAACCCGAAGGCCTCATTCTCACCTCACATCATTATTTTACAAAACGTCAAACACGTCTAATTAAATAAAGTTTCCATTCCCGATATTTTACAGACTTCACTTTTATAAAAGTATAACTTTTCTAGACAGAGACGGAGATGTAGCCGTTTTTGACTGATTTGATTTTCCTTAACAGTAAGCAAGTATCAATCTAAACACTATGTCATTTCACAATCTACTATAAACTGGACATTTATCGAATGGCATCAACAATAACTATTCCAAATTCATTTGGTATTGTTTGGCTTGTATCTTCCCATTGAGGTATTAGGACTGCAATTAATCAGTCTGTTATTGGCATATGTGCATGTTGTGCGT